GGTGGTGGTGGTGGTGATGGTGGTGATGATGATGATGGTGATGATGCTGTTGGGGTTGCCGCTGCCACAAACTGACAATTTTCATTGAATTTCTTGCTTCACATTTGATTGAAATCTGTTCAGTTCGATTCTTAGATTTTTTTTTCTTTCTCCCCTTTCCTTCTCCCCTCTTTCCCGTCCCCGCCTATCTTCTATGCTTTGGTGTTGGCGGAGCCCCGTAAAAAAAACGAATTCCTTCAGCTGGCTGTTAGTTGGTTTCGATTATGTTGATACAAACGGTTTTTTGTTTAGGATCGGTCGCTTTATAAATTTACCTTTGATGAGCAGAAATATTTCGTATTTTACTCTCTACTTTTGTGCTCAGATACTGCTTTCCTTCTTCGCTTTTTAGCGATGGTTTTTTTTTTATCAACAAAGTTGTAGGTTTGACTTCAAAAAAGTTCTTATTTTACTTGATATTTTCACTTGTTTATCACTTTTATTATTTTTCTTTTTATTATCATTATTATTCGTATTGTTCTTGATATCACTATTATTGTTGCATTTTTATCAAAATATTGATAGTGGTTCCTGAAAAGAAGGCGCGTATTTTTTTTTTTTCAGAAGACTCTGTTAGCTTAATTATGATCTATTTTCCAGCTTTTCGTCCACATCCCGGAGAAGCATTTTTCTGTTGTTGGTAATGCGTCATTCAGTTTATTGATAGGGTACTAGTTAGATTTTTCATATGGCTTTTGAACGCGGCGGAAGAAACAGTCGTGGAATAAGACCAGAGCAGGAAATGTGGACTCAAAATTTTGTTGTTATTCAGCCAGAAAATTTTCTTCCGCCAGTACGAGGAAGAGAATGTGGGTTTTGGTCACAAAATGTTGGACTGCACTGTGAACCGGCTAATCAGAATAGTTTTCTACCTTGTGTACCAGGCATCAATAATGTCAGCTACGGGAAACCTAGGCCAGAATTTGGGCCACAAATGTATGATTCTAAGAACAACGGGAATAAAAATCTCTCATCGCTAAGAACACCGGTGAGTCTCGTTCAGTTGTCATTAAAAAAGCCTATTTTTCTGTTGGCTACGTCTTTTAAGTTGTGCAGCTTAAAATTTGTGTGACTTTCACAGTTTATCGAAAAATGTTGAAGCATGTTTGGAAGCTGTTTGTTTCTTCTGTCATGGAAGCCCTTCTGGTTTGTTATTAATTGAAATATTGACAGAAATGTTCACATATTTCTTAACATTCTAGAAGGAATAAAGATTTTTTCAGGCAGTAAGATCATTGAATGGTGATATTTATGTATACCATGCAACTGGAAGTGAACCAGCAATCTTGTCTGGAGTAGGCGAATTGACTTGGCTGTCGTCAAAGGCTGGACTTATTACTTGCAAGCGAACGAATAAAACTGTTTCCTTCCAGACAAAAGATTTTTGCGATCTGGTCCGTCATATCTTTAAGTTTATTATTTTATAATGTTTTAGAAGAATTTTTTTCAAAATCAAGATTTTCGCTTTTTTGATTAGATTAGGTGATGAAAGCTTATGGTTTCAGCAAGTCACTGACTTGACAGATGTCCTTTGTGTTGGTTTTACTTTATGCTATCAAGCAACAGCCAGTGAAACGAGTGACGATTTAATCGCAATAAATGTTACTCCATTACAAGGCGTAGTCAGTAATTTTTTGTCATTTATTTCATTCTCCTTTATTCTTTCTATTTGCTGGTTCTTCGGTATGGTGACTGCTCATTCTTACCGTCCATCTCACCATTCTCCCCTTTTTTAGGAGTCGGAAAAAGAGTTTTTTTGTTCTGAGGAGGTGGATCTTGAAGCTGCACAGGCACGTGCAACCAGTGGACCTCCAAGGTCTCCGAAAGATATGTATTCCGTAGCCTTGGAATCGAAAGCTATTCCAGTAATTCTCTCAGTGTTTAAAAACCAAGGAGGACTTTTTTGTCAACTTTCAAGGTAGTCATTCTTTTTTTTTGACTAGTTTAAAATTAACCTGAATAGAATATTTTGTGAGTCTTTATTTAGTTACGCTTGTTATTTCAGTCTGCACAGTCACATCTGCAGCGCTGAAGATCGTGAGCTTACTCGTTACATAGGTACAAGTAGCTTGAAAAGACGTCAATTTATCGAAAAGCGGACTCATATTTTTGACGAGATTCAGGGAGATCAAGTATATTTTGTACTTTTTTCAAATCTTATCTCATAGTGATCTATTATTTAGTTTCACCTGGTTTCTGTTTTTTACCTTTCAAGGTACGTCTGCAGCCGCCTGTAGTTTATCAGACTGTGAAGTTACTGGCTCGCTTCTTGTTGTGTCGAGGTGGTGTCACTTCTACAAATTCGTTGTACGATTTTTACATGTCTTGTCCAGAACTGGCAGAGGGAAGGCAGTATTTCGGAGAGAGCGATGGTTCCTTTTTATTCATTATATTCTGCTGTTATAAGTGAACCTAACTTGTGACGATAAGATGAAATTTATTTCCAGGTCGTTCGGCATTTATTAGCTTGATTAAAACGCATAATTGGGTTTTTTCGTTGTTTCCATCTCAAGTATACGTTTCTGTACGCCGCAATTTGCCTCAGTTCGACTATGCAGAATTTGTGAAAACGGTATTGTTTTGAGAACTGAAATTTCTATGAATCTCGCATATTTTTTGGACAGTGAATACAGTTTCATTTAGCAGCTCCCCAAATTTGTTCCAAACCGAAGAGGTGTTGCATCGTCGCCGATGTTGAACCCCATCAAACCGACGCCACTCATTAACCCCCTGACTACAGCCCCCACTGTTCCTCCATTGACTCGTCCTGGAAGTACCATGAACAATGACCCTGCGTCACGGGCATTTTCAGTGCCGCAGACACCAATGAACAATTTGCCATCGTTATCCATGGCCTACAATCAGGTTGATAATTTGAATTTGTTTGTACTATCCCGTATTTTACGGTTTTTATCGGAAATCATTTTTGTAGCAATTTCCACCAAAGCGTGCCACCTCTGTTTCAAACCCACCTAATAATCCTGCTTGGAATGAATTTATATCTGCTGTTCCTGCTGTTAATAGTTTAACAGACGTTTCAACAGCGAATGGGTTTACAAGTAATCAGTATAATAACGAGTTTGTGGGTGATGCTTACCCTCTGTGGAATCAGGCGAGATCGTATAGCACCGGTAGCAGTCCTGCTTTATCTGCTGCATCAAATCAGATTGAAACTGGGCGAAAAATTCATAAGGATTCTTCAACCCAAACTGTTGCTGCTCTCAGAGATACAAAACTTGACGAAGAGAGTAAGAGTCATTGACCATTGTAATTTGTTATTGCCATTTTTTTTTTTT